CCCCCTTAAAAGAAAGGGATGCAGCTGCTGGCTTCGCGTGAGATGCTCCCGGCCCCGGGCCCTGGCTGTGGGAAGGTGCCCGGCCCCGGGCAACAAACCCCAGCAATCCCTCAACAATAAGAAAGCCTCAATTTAGTCTAGCCCGAACCAACAGAGAGCAATCGCGGAGCAGACAACGGGGCAGACGACGAGCTTGAAGGCTTATGCAACGGCCCACTAAAAGCAGTGAAACCACAAGCACCTCCAAACCCCGCCAATCCCTCAACACTAACAAAGCTTCAATTTAACCTAGCCCGAACCAACAGAGAGCAATCGCGGAGCAGACGACAACTTTTAAGGCTTAAGCAACGGCCCCCTCAAAGCAGTGAAACCACAAGAACCACCAAGACCCGGCAATCTCTTAACACTCACAGTGCTCTAAACCTAACTTAACCCGAACAAACAGAAAACATTCGAGAGGCAGACGCAACACTTTAGGACCTAAGGACCAGCCCCCCTAAAGCAGAGCAAGCGTTCGTGGGAGATGCTCGGGGCGCCTGTGAGCGCAGTCAACATGGACCCCCTTAAGGCAGAGAAAGCCTTCGGGTGAGATGCTCGCACTCGGACCCCTCCGCCTCCGAGCCCCAACCCACCTCGCACCCCTGAAACTTCGCGAGGGGGGACCCGGCCGCGCCAGAAAAAGTTCAAAGGTTTCGATCCCCAACCCGGAAAAAGTGCCGAAAAACACGATTGTCAGAAACGGGCTTTTTTACCAAACCCCAGCAAACCCTTAACATTAAAAAAGACTAAATTTAGTCTAGCCCGAACCAACAGAGAGCAATCGCGGAGCAGACAAGGAGTTTTAGGGCTTAAGCGCCAGCCCCCTTAAAAGAAAGGGATGCAGCTGCTGGCTTCGCGTGAGATGCTAAGGGCGCCTTTCTGCGCAGTCTCAAAAAACTGCGCTGGCGAACCCTAAACCCTAAACCCTAAACCCTAAACCCTAAACTCTAAACCGTAACCCTAAATTGTATTTGCCACACCGTTGGGAAGCACCAAGATGCCAGCAAACAGTGCAGAACAAAAACACCCCATTTTGTTAACCCTTGTTGTCGTGCTCAACATCCTTAAAACAAGAAGTCAAGAACCAGTGCAGAAAAAAAGCCCCATTTTGTTAGTCCTAGTTGTCGTGCTCAACATCCTTAAAACAAGAAGCCAAGAACCAGAGCAGAAAAAAACACACCCCATTTTGTTAACCCTGGTTGTCGTGCTCAACATCCTTAAACCAAGAAGCCAAGAACCAGTGCAGAAAAAAAGCCCCATTTTGTTAGTCCTAGTTGTCGTGCCACCTGCTGACAATCTGGTCCCCTCGGGATTGCCACCTACCGACAATCCAAGGAAGCATAGGGCCAAAGTGAAGTGTGACAGCCATCCGCCCCCTTTCCACCAAGCTCCACCCAGATTGCCACCAGCTGACAATCTGAAGCCCTGAAGATTGCCACCTGCTGACAATCCAAAGGGGCAACCGGCCAGCAAGGGAGTGTGACAGCCATCCGCCCCCTTTCCACCAACCCCCCACCACGATTGCCACCTATTGGCAATCTGTACCCCCTTAAGATTGCCACCTGTTGGCAATCTGTACCCCCCCTAAGATTGCCACCTGCTGACAATCTAGATCCCCTGTGATTGCCACTTGTTGGCAATCTGTACCCCCTTAAGATTGCCACCTGTTGGCAATCTGTACCCCCCTAAGATTGCCACCTGCTGACAATCTAGATCCCCTGTGATTGCCACCTGTTGGCAATCTGTACCCCCCTACGATTGCCGCCTTCTGACAATCTAGACCCCCTAAGATTGCCACCCCTTTGGGGCCTGGAGATTGTCACTCGGGGCCTGGCGATTGTCACTTTGGGGCCTGGAGATTGTCACCTGGGGCCTGGCGATTGTCACTTTGGGGCCTGGAGATTGTCACTCGGGGCCTGGCGATTGTCACTTTGGGGCCTGGAGATTGTCACCTGGGGCCTGGCGATTGTCACTTTGGGGCCTGGAGATTGTCACTTTGGGGCCTGGAGATTGTCACTTTGGCGTTGTGGGTGGCCTGGTTGCAAGTTTTTGCAGGTTTTGAGAGGTTTTTAAAGGCTCAGAGTGGTTTTAAAACGTTCTAAGTGGCTTCCGAAGTTATTTCAAAGGGCTTTAAGCAGTCTTGAAGCCGGGCAAAATTGACACCCACCGTCAATCTACGACCGCCCGGGGACCAGGATTTCCCCGACCCGCGCGCGTACACACAATGCGCTTTTGGACCCTCCGCTCGCCCCCTAAGGGGGGCATGCTAACTGTCTTTTGGAAGCTAGTAATGGCGTTGAACTACAGCGACTGCTGTACGCGCCAGTTCACTAGCGAAGCGGCCTCCAAATACCTAAAAAGAGCCGAGGTGCCTTCCTTGAGCATTCCAAAAGTAGGCCGCGGGCATACTTTTGGGATGTGTGCCACGGACGCGCTTTGCGCGAGGATCGGTTTGTTTTCCTCAGTGCCAAGGGCCAAGGGGGCTTCCCATTGAGCCTGTCAACGGGAACGCGTGTACTCGCTCGCGGGTGCGCGTTACTACCGGGGATCCGATCTATCTCCAATCGGTGAACACATATGGGCGAAGGATGTTTCAATCCGACCAGAAACATCGGGGAAGCAGGGAGCGTGTGCTGCGGGACATTCTCTTATAAGGCGCCTAAAATAAGGCCATCCCAGTACTAAGTACGCTGGGGGGTGCCTTCGAAGACCTTCACACTCTCATACTTCCCACGCATGCATTCACTGAACATGTCCAAGCCAAGGACTGATTTTTGGTGCAAGCGACTCGGCTGCAACTAAACATGTCCGTGCTCGTGTTCGTTAGTCTTGTGTTTGCATTCCTTCTTTGCCGATGCCAAGGTACAACCAACGAGGCCGGCAACGGTAGACGGCCACCAAGCTGCAGCTACACGCATGCACGTTTACACTTTCCCTTCACTCGGCCCAAGACTGGAGACCCATCCACGATTGAGAGTCCCTACAAAGGCAATACGTGCTTTCAAAAATCTTTGCATGTTCGATGTTGAAGACCACCACGCCGGGCTCTCATCTCAAACCCATTTTGTCGGCCTCGTGCTAAATCGTAATGCCAGTATCTCACAATCGACCTCAGCCAAGACCTTCAACCTCGTCAGGAATCGGCCCACAATTGGGGAGACTCGGAGAATGCAGCTAAGCCATTCGAAACTCGCAGGCGGTAAAGTCCTCATGCGCACGCGTTGCCTGCGAGAACTCCACGCACAACCAAGGCGAGCAGCTTCGGCAGAAGCCCATCCACCATAAAAGAGTCCCGACAGATGAAGACATCACTGGCAGAAGCTCTGGCTGTCAGGTCTCGCTTGCAGCATAAAGCAACCCAAACCAGCTGTCATCATGTCACAGCCAAGGTACAGCTCTGGTCGCATCTGGACTGCCACTAGACATGTTCATACTTGCCTTGTGTTTACAGTGATTCCCTTCCAATGCCAAGGTACGACTAAGCGAGGACTCCCGGAGTTCAATTGGGAAGCCCGCCCACCGCCTGACATATCCTCGTCCAATTTATGAAGGAAATCGGCTTGGAGAGCTTGCGAATCACCTGACAATCGTCACCTTCGTCCGCTTTATGAAGAAAATCGGCGTGGGGAGCCTGCGAACCACCTGGCAATCCATATTCCCGTCCTCTGTATGAAGGAAATTTACTTGGAAAGCTCCCTCGTAGCTGTACGTAGCTGTGTTCCAGGTAGAGGCATACCGTCTTTCAGCTGGAATACAAGTGGAAATGATACTGGTTTCACAAGGAAGGCAACTGGCGCACGAGTGAAAACATGCTCGGCCCAGAGCATCGTTCCCGAGTCTTCCCAGGTGTGCGGGAGAGCGGCGGAGATCGAAGCATGTAGCTTCCAGTCTTGCAGATGCTGCTTGAGCATTGCACCCTGTATTCCGCAGCCTCACTCTTGCGGCTCAAAGCTTGCATTTGCTTGCCTTCAGAGCACCCACGAGATGGACGGCCGCTGTCTGGAGTGGAGCCGGTGTTTGGAAGGCGGTCCTGGCTCGTGGTCATTGATTGACTCGGACGGCGCGGCCTTTACCACTGAAGCAGCTCCTCGATGGCATCTGCTCTTCTTTTCCACCGATCCCGTGGAGAGGCTGCAGTGCCGATTCGTCCGATGGCATCCAGCAGATGCCCAGGTTGCTGTGTTCGAAGCTGAAGAGCTGGACCATGATGCTTGGATCAGTTATCCCGCCGGCGAAGGTCTACGTCCGTGAAGTGCCCTCACCCTTGGTCGTCACCTGCAGCTTGACGCCTGTCCCGCAAAATGCTGTTGACGCAGTGTTCACCACGGTGGCCGGCGGGGAGCTGCTGCGAATCACCGGCATGTCAAACTCTTTGCCGGAGCTGGAAGAGCTTGCTGCATCCGCTGCCCTAGCAGCGGCAGCCCAAGGCCGTCTGAGGAGCCGCAACCAAGCAGTGTGCACGGCGTTCGACGGGCAACTGGTCACATTGGCCCTTTCCCAAGACATGTGGGACATGCTGACAGCGCAGAACTAGAAAAGAATCTTTCGTTTCGCTCAACCTATGCCGTGCGCTGGCTGTGACGGAGCATCGCGGCTGGCAGCCACAGCAGCAGAAGCAAACAAAAAAGATGCGGACGTCTGCTACTTGCAGCCTGGACATGAAGGCCGATGCCTTGATCGAGACAGCCCCGGCCCATTTAAATAGGTGGTACTGATGAGGACGGGACGACAAGGAGCGAGCTGGAAAATTGCTTGGAACCAACTGCAAGCCAATGTCGCTGCCGTGGTCCCTGCAATGAGAGCACACTAACACTAACCAGGCACCGCAGCCCAATTCGTGCTCAAGAGCATCAAAAGCAAAAAGTTCCGCACCGCGAAGCGACTATCTAGGCCGAAGCCGCTTCCGACAGTAGCAGAGACGGAACGGCAACAGAAGCTTCTGAGCCGGCCCTGCAGGTCAAATGGACATGTACCCGAGCAACCGCCGCCGATGGGCCGATATCGAGGACGAGGAGGAGCAGGCGGCATGCAGGAAGCTAGCAGTCAAGGTGTAGAAACTCTCTCGCACTCAGTCCCTGCCTTCCTGTTAGAAGCGAGGGAACAACAGCACAGAAACCGAGGGAGAGAGAGACAGAGAGAGATAGAGATAGAGACAGAGTGACATAAGGGCAGAGACCGAGACAGACCCGCGATGCAGCACTCACGCAGGCCACGGCAGCAATGCGCAGTTCCAGCATCACCAGCGAGGCAACTCCCCTGACCAGGGATTGCATGTTGATTCTACGTATAAGGCTCGCTGAGGTTGATTGCACAGTTCACACAGACCTTCAGCCCCTTCGCGCGCAGGTGCTTGCTGCGCCGGACACCACCTTCTTGCAGGTGGAAAATGTGGTTGCGGACGGCAACTGCTTGTTCCACGCCCTGGTCCACGCGCACACGCGGGCGACAGAGGACGAGAACAGTGACAGGCCCCTTCCTGCAGAGCTGGGACAGGCCCTTCGCCGGGATGTGACAAGCTTCCTGATAGCCCATGCAGTCGAGCAGGGCGACTTTGCGGAGAGTTGGTTGGAAGAGGCAGAACGTTTGGAAAGAGGATCGGGGGAGGCGTGGGCTGGAAACGTCTCGATCGTGGCCTTCTCCCTCATGCAGGAATGCCGCGTCCAGGTGCACACACGCCGTCCCGATGGTTCCATCGTGACAATGGACTCCACCCACCGAGATCTTCAAGATCTCGCTGACTTGCCTATGGTTCGCGTGCTATACAATGGAGAAGACCACTACGATGCGTTGGTGGAGGCCGAAAATGTGGGACTTCTAGTGCCCGCATGGGAAGGTCAGACGTGGCCGCTGAGGTACTGGCGAATTCCGCCGCAAGAAATGCACCCTCAAGATATCGACGGTTCATTGCTGCCGATGAAGAAGACAAGATCGATGGAGTCCATCACTTCGCCCGAGCTTCCCGGCAGCACGGACGACATCCTGGAGGAGGTGTGCCAGGCGGTCGTGGCGCCGACATCCACCCATCCGCATCGCCAAATGGAGGATGCCATTACGAAGCTGGCGACGACCAGGCTTCGGGACCATCCCACACTCCCACCTCTTGCCCTGCCGGAAGAAGTGGATGCGGGCGAGGCGTGGCCCCACGCTTTCTGTGCGTTCAGCGGCTGTTTGTGGACGGCCAGAAAGGGCACGGAGGACGACCTGCTTCAGCACCTCCGCGAGCAGCATCGCCCCGACCTAGAACCGGTAGCAGCTCTTCTAGGCCATGGCCATCCCGACAAGCAGGATTTCCTCAGCGTCTACAACGCAGCTCTCAGCGTCAAGTGCCGCTCGGCCGCTCCCCTCGCTGGCAGCTCCCTCGACCGGATCGCTTTGGAAAAGTTCGCAGAGGCGACTGCTGGCGACCACGTGGAGTCACTGATCTGCTTCTCGTGCGCTTGCACTTACACGCGCATCGCAGAGACGGAAGATCGGGGCGACATCCAGTGGCACCGTCCTCTGGAGCAGACGAACAAAAAGCTTTTTCGTGTGAACTGGGGGTCCCTTTTACAACTGGGGGTCCCAAAAGTCACTGCCCTGACATTGTTAATGTTGCGCTTCTTATCTTCTCGGCCCAGCAATCTACGGGATGGCGAAACGTTTTAAAGGCAAAGTGAAGTCCTCCCGGCGGGCACCGTGTGCAGTTGGTTCAAGCCCTGCAGGGCTCTGTGTACAGTTGGCTCAATGTCAAGCCCTCCGGGGGTTCGTGTACAGTTGGTTCAAGCCCTGCAGGGCTCTGTGTACAGTTGGCTCAATATATTATGTATAATATTATGTAGAAAGGGTTTATTTATGCATGTATGTATGTACGTATGTGCGTACGTGTGTACATCCTATGTGTCTATGTGTGTGTGTACGCATGAATGTATAGTATGTTAATGTGTGGAAGTATGTATGGACGCATGTATTTTGAGCTGCACAGTTTGCAGTCATTAACCCATGTTGTGTCACCACTTGTATCTTGTGGTTGCTGAGGGTGTCAGGCCCAGATCCGAGACAGGTTTGCGATGACGTGTGACAGCTATTTAGCTTGAAGGGGCGGGCAGGCAGGGCACCGGTCATTGAGGAGGTAGCTCTTGCTTCATTCAGCGAGTCGAGTGTGTTTGCTTCTGATGTGAGCTTTTGACGGCAGTCACTGCAAGCTGTCGATGCTTTGACCAGCAGCTTGCCTCTCTGCAGCTGTTTCTTTTGGTTGCTGCAGATGCAACTACTATCATTGAGGTGATCTTTTCGATAATTTAACATATGACAGAAATCTAGCTTGGAAGGGTGGGCAGGCAGGCAGCTGTTATTCATTATGTAGCTTTAGTTGTCTTTCAGCGATATATCTGAAGTGAAGTCATGCCACTGGAAGCTGTGGATGATTTGTCCGAATCAGATGTGGAGGATGAGCCGCTCAGCAAGCCTCATTGATCTGTATGGTAGATGTTCCATGTCAGACCAGTTGTCATTGTGTTGCAATCGTCCAGATAGCAAGAAGCGAAACTCTCAGGCCAAGCGCAGACAAAGTGAAAGGCCAAGTCGTGTTTGTGAAGTCCTTGAAAAGACGACGCCAAGATAAATCTGCGTGGCCTAAGTTTGGAATTGCTACGACAGAGACGGCGAAGAACATATTTCATGTGCGACAGTATAGTGTCGCACTTGCGACAGCTCCCAAGCTGAAAATGATGGTTGCGACTTGACTTGGCTTATTGCTTGCGTGCGCCGAGTACTTGTCCGCACCATGATTTTCCTAAACAAAATTCTGTGCGGACATACAACTCAGGCAAACAGTGTCAAGAAAGAGGGCAAGTTGAAGAAGAAAAAGGCCAACGGTGCAACCCGCTTCCAGGGCCAGCGCATGTTCAATTACTGGAGCAGCATTCGTGACTCGGTTCTTTGTGAGTCCTTATCGCTCCAATTGAAAACGTTTCCCGCCTCAGGTTGCTTTGGAGGAACAACACGGGCTGCGAAAGAGGATGCCGACGTGAGCACCAGAGGGATTCGCGCAGCGTGGCGAGGTCAACGTTGTCGACATAGACATAGACATGTGAAATCTACATTAAATTATCTGCAACCTTGCATCATGACGTGTTGTGCAGGAAACCAGTCGTAAAGCTAAGGATCTGGCCAACATGATAAAATTCTCCACCATCTATCGTGCGGCTGTGCCTGCTGCAAAGGCTCAGGCGAGCCGCTTCTTAACCCTCCCTGCAGCTGAATGGTTCAGTGGCATCTTGTTGTTGGAAGTAAATTCCTGGTGTTTTCTTTGATATTGCAGACTCGGCTGTGCCAGCAGCCGTCAAGAAAATACACCCGGAAGCGTTGATCCCAATCTGTTCACATTCGCTACAATAATAATAATAATGATACTACATAATAATACTAATATTGAGCATGAGTTCAGACTTATCAAACAATTCAAGGTATACATGTTGAAACCCACGAAGCTGAGCCGCGAAACCTGGAAGTCTGCCTTTCTTCTACCATAATAAGCACCCCAACCCTAAACTCCTCAAAAGAACCTCGATTTCGCTCAGGTCTGCCACGGAATTGGACGATAGCAAAAAAGGGAGCCGTGGATGCAGAGGCGTTCCGAGAATCCTTTCCAGACGCAGCTAAGGACAGGTGCGTTCAGGCATTCAGTATTAAGCTGCTTTCAGTAGCCACATAAAATACCGGGGAATGCCAGCCAGGAGGCCCTTGTTTTGCCTAGTATTCTGGCTCGACTTTATAGGACATTAGACGTAGAGCCCATGTCGGGTAGGTTTGCCCATCCTGCTTTTGAAGCTTACGAAAGAGAGCGTTGGCACACATTAAATCAAAGAACGCACAAGATGATCTCTCCAGCAGGACTTGAAGTCGAAGCTTCCGGTCGTGAGCCTTTTTTCTGGCATTGGAGGCCTTGAGTTGGGGATGTCGAGGCTGCTCGTCGTTGGCGTTAAGGAATTGGGTCCAGGTGATGCATCTCAATTTTATTGTTGCTGTTCAGCGGGGAAGGTATACGTCTTCAATTCGCAGTGTGCAGCACAAAGTGCCTCGTGGACATGTGGCCTTTTCGTGCGATGTTGGGCTACCAGACTCCTCTGTACACAGACACATGCCTGTAGTTGTGCAGTCTGTGCGACACTCTGCTACGTAGTATGTCTAGTGTACGTATGTATGTATGCATAAAGTCTAGCACATGTGTAAGCGCCGGTACAGAAGTATAGTAAGGGTTTAGGGTTGGGGTGAAGGCTATGGGGTGTCTGGCCTTGGGGTGGAGGATTTGCTTTGAACTTAGCTGTCCTGGCAACCACCAGTCATTCAAAAAAACACTCTTCCAAGCCCAGGTTTTTCTATGCCACTGACTTCGTTGCCCGGATAGAATGGCCTGCGGAGTTTGTGGTCCGTGTCTGAACTTGGCTGATATACGTGATTTTCAATTGAGGTGGAACACAATCCCGCCTGCCAGGCCGTCCTGCGATGCAGGATGGCCGATGGGCTGTTGCCGCGAGCCAACATTTACAGTGATGTGTCATCGTTCCCCCCGCGGGGGTGCCGTCCAGCTGCCGTTGGAGTCGGTGGCGGCTTTCCATGCCAAGCTCATTCGTTGCAAAGACTGGTTACGTTTACTGGCTTGAAAGGAAGGTATTCAAAGTGAGGGATCGTGTTTGGTCCGTGATGGTCAGCTCAGGGCATTTCGACTGGCGGCCACCAGAGAGGGTTCGGAGACGAACGAACGGTTTTGCTCAAAGAAATCTTCAGAATCTACGATCAGCTTGACAAGTCGAAGCCGCTTGTTGTATCAAGTCCATTTCTTGCAATGGTATAATGTCCTGCTGTACTAATGAAAAAACAAAGAGATGTCAAGGCGATCCCTCATCTACTTGGAGAACACCCAGGCTCTTTTGGGTACCGTGCCCAAGATGCAGGACATCATGCGCTACATCATCGTGGAAGCTCGGCTTTCTTTTGGTTTCTGGCTAAATCTGGGGTTCTAAATCTTATAGGCTAAGCAGTCGCAGTGCTTGATGGAGCTTTTTGTGTTTTTTTGGGCTTCGTGAGTGATCAGGTGCTGCAGCTTGCAAATGCATGAGCGCATGGGGCACGTTTAAGATCCATCATTTGGGATAATAATTTCTTTGTTGGCATTAAGTGAACTATTAGTCTGTGCTGGGTTCTAGGTTCTGGCAGTGTGCCGTTCCTTGCCGCTCCTTCTTGGTTCCAATGCCAAGCAAACAGATAGTTATAGAACAGCCGAAGTTTTTACACAAACTAGGTGCCCACCTGACTGATTATTATGGCGTGGAAGGAGTTCATCGCTGGACCCATCTATGAACGTGTTAGTTTCGTATTTAATTTAGTCATGTTGGAGCCCATCTTCCATGGAAGCGTTTCACTCTGACTGTCGTTGCAGCTGGTGACATCAACCTCACACCGCTTTGTCTTGGGCAGTTGCAGTTGCGGCGGGCGTCATGCTGTGGCAACACCAACCTTGGGAGGTGAGGCTGGTCAAGACCTTGGAACAAATTTTCCGATAATCTGCTGCCTTTCAACTTTTGTGGCCTTGACTGAGTGGCTTTTGGCCAAGCACGACAATCCGGAGATTTCTTCGTGGACTCGTGGATCGAAGAAGAAGAAGTGGCCAATTCAATGCTGTTGTGACTTGATGCGGCAAGCGTGGGGATATATCCCTGGCGGTCCAGTGACATCTCCTCTCGCTTTCCGCGTGGAATCACAAGGTATGGTTCACATTGCATGAATTTCTCTCCCTTTGATGCTGACAGTCCTGCAGGCCCGGCAAAGAGAAAAATGACGGGACAGTTAAACAGGCACGCGCACCAGAGGAGCACCCAGTAGACATGTTACGGTTGTGAAGGGTTTGGGCAGTGTCGTTGTCGTTGTGAGGGGATGAAACATGGGTTTGCAGTTTAACTTAAACTAGTCAACGACACCAAGGAATGTTCCCAGCGCGACTTGGTGCTTTCCTGGGCTGCAGTCAGCTTGCAGCACGTGGGACTAGCCGTGGCTGGGCTTGTTGTGTTGGTCAATTCCACCTCTCAGGGCCTCATAACTTTAACGTACGGGGTTTTGGGATATTATATAGTGAATACAGCCGTATGTAGGAAAATGCAAGCTGAAGCCCTGCTTGTAGGATATTTGTTTGGAAATATTTTAATACATGCTGATCGCCCCTGTAGCGGTTTAAATTAATCTGGATTAATGATTAGTGCGGGTTGAGGGTGGATGACTTGTTTTTTTCATAGAGCTCGCGAGTCAGCTCACTCAAGTCCTCTGTTGGAGCCAATCGAAAACCAGAACCCTTTTTTTCTATAGGGCATAATAACAGTAACAGTAACAGACGTATACTGTTACTTTTTGTTTCTTGGGATGCAAAGCCCGCTTCAGGCTGGCTTGTAGGATTGAAGAAATCACTGCTTTAAACCTGAGTACAACACCCGCCTATTGTTGCAGGCGAAGAGAAAGCGTGTTTTCTTCTGGGCGGTCAAGAAAGGTGTGAAGCTCCTTGATGCTCCTCGGCTATGCTATTCTTCAAAGGAATCAGCATCTTGTCTTTTAAATACCTCGGGACACTTCTTGGAAGGGTTGCTGGTCCTGGTGCTTCTGAGGACATCCAGCTGCAG